TTCGTCAAAAGTGTATAACATTTCTTGTGGATATAATTCCGGCTTCGGTATCCTTCGGCCGCGCTTAGGGATTATAACCCTTACTAAGTAGAATTCTCCTTTCTGTGTTGCCGGGGAAGAGGGGCAGGCACCTCTTTTGTTATCAAGGGTATATAAAATGTCCCGTGCAAATGAATATTCAACCTTTTTCAAACGAAAAACGCAAGTGACTTTTGGTCATTTTTCTAAGGGGTCCCTAGGGAACCGTAGGGGCCCTAGGTGGTCGGGAGTAACATTTTTGTCAATGGCGGTTCACGTCCTCCTAAAAAAGGTCGGAAAAGGTGCCACGTACACTCCCCCTTCAATCTCCATCTCTTTAACAACCACCCCTATTATTTATTTATTTTTCACATTTATTGTTGCTTTGAAAAATATATCTAAGATATCTTTGTTTGTTTGTACCTAATTAATGGTAATTTGTAACAATAAATTGCACAAAAAATTAAAAAAAAAAAATTGTACTCCTTTCTTATGTCATGTACTGCTTTTTTTCTATCGAAAATATAAATGTACTCCTTTCTCCGTTTCAAAATCTGGCAACCCTAAGAACAGGGCTGATAGTGGCACGCTCCTCTGCACGCTCAGCCATGCTTGAACAAATAAAATACAATTACATATTGCTTTCAAATAGCATTATTTTTTTAACGTTACGAGCGTTTTCCGTCTACGAAAAGGAATGAAAATTGTAGTAGCCCAGCAAAAAACACGATTACCACAGAAACGAAAGTGGAAACGAACTAGGCGATGGGAATCGCTTACCGTTTCGCTTCAAGAAGGCCTTATTTTAACATGGGCATGTCATTGGAGGTAAGCCCTTACCCGCAGCATTACCTTCAAACGAAGGGAGAACGCATGGATAAACAGAATCCAGAGAAGCGAAAAAAGAATGCCTTACAGAGAAACTAATGTAGAATGCCTAGATAAGTACATACTTATTTATATTAAATTGAAATCAGAAAATGTCTTAAAAGGTTAAAATTAATTAAAATTTTTATAAATCAGCGTACATATGTATGTATTTAGGTATTTAGATTTTCTTTAAAATCGGTATGTACATACATGCATATTTAATTAAGCTTAAAATTGTACTTCCTCACTCTTGTACGTCACTTCATTGACTGACTTCAACTTCGCTGCAAATTGAACAAAGCAAAACATGATTTTTATGCGAGACAAATTTCCACAGAAAGTAACGGTAGAAAAAGAATTTTTGGATATTCATTCCATTTTTCAGCTGACTACGATGCAGCATTCTACTTTGCATTCCCCGAAATGAAGCAAAGAAGCGAAACAAATAAAATATTGTAGGACATTCTACTTTGCATTCCCCGAAATGAAGCAAAGAAGCGAAACGAATAAAATATTGTAGGACATTCTACTTTGCATTACCTGAAATGACGCAAAGAAGCGAAACAAATAAAATATTGTAGGACATTCTACTTTACATTCCCGGAAATTAAGCAAAGAAACGAATTAAAAAATAAATATTATAGGACATTCTACTTTGCATTCCCCGAAATGAAACGAAGAAGCGAGATAAATAAAATATTGTAGCACATTCTACTTTGCATTACTGGCAATGCCTAAAAGAAGCGAAAAAATTCGAAGGCATTATAACGCTATGCCTTCTAGAACACGTTACCACTAAAAGCGATTACCGATTTTTTGCTGGGAGTTTTCTGCTCGTTTCCGGTTACGATAGCCGCACTTTTTTTGAACGTTGTTGGATACGTAAAGCTGATGCCACATAAAACTTTTGCTTCGCTTTACGTGACAGATTCGCTTTCACAGATAAGATGAATTGTATGACAATGCACAAAGCATGCCACATAGACCGTTGAAGCTACAGCGCGAAGCGAAAAGATGGCCAACTCCCATCTTTTTGCGCGCTTTGAATATCAGCCGGTTTAATATTTATTTTGTTTCGTCCAAATTCGAGTTTTCATGCAGAAACATAAAACTTAATTACATTGCTGATAATTTTAAAGCAAAATATATAAAATCCAAAGAAATTTTGACGAGTAAAAAAGCGGTACAAAAAAAGTAAAGGAAATTAGCCATTACCCTGCAAAAATCGTTGGACCATGTAGTCTATTTGTGGTAAATTGGAGTACTTACAAAAGTGTTCCTCTGTCATGCTGTAGCGGACCAACTCGTGTCTCTGCGCCAGCTTATTGTTTGTTATCCGATCACTGCTCGTGTTTTAACGAAACGTTATTGAAGTTGAGCATTTGAAAGCACATTTGCATGTCTGGCTGTAGCTGAACGTGTAGAGATGCTCGCTGTTAGTTCTTAGCTCCCAGCATGTTCGGGTTCGAATGCCGTCAGAGGCAACATGTAATTTTTAATTTTTGTCTTGGTTTTTATTAATTTCGAAAAAGCATTTGAGAAGTGAAGAACAAAAGCGTGTACAAACGAAAAATATAACAACAATGCCATTGTTAATATGTTGGAGCAGTTTTGTGCTACTCTGATGTAATGCAGGGATGGAATATATGGTCCTCCCCTAGGACATCGCAATGTTAATTGGACCATATTTTTTATATGAATTGTGGTTAATTTTTGAGTACTCCTTGGTCCTTAGGGAGTACTCTTTACACGCATGCATGGAGTCGTCGCGATTTTTGCAGGGTACTTGCAAAAACCGGAAGAAGAAGACACACCAGCTGACTTTGTTTATGTTTTATTTGTAAACAAAGTGATATTCATGTTGCCTCCATAGAGAAAAAAGGAAAGTGAACGTTCAAGTTCGCGAGGAACATTTCTAGAAGTAAAAACTAGTTGGCGCTATCATAAAGTCACATAGCAGGCAGCCAAAAAGCATATAAATACCAAAACTCGGAAAATGCAATTTTGTTTGTTTACAAAAATTGCAACCATATGTTTTGTGGTCGTATGTTTTCGTGTTGGATAATTTTTGCTGACTAAAATTTTGCCAGTACAAAATGAACGCTTCTCTTGCACCAAAATGAACGCTTGCTCTCTCAATGTTTGTGTGTTGGATAATTTTTTGTCGTTATCGAACGCCATCCAGTAAAAATTTGGAAAAACTATTACAAATTTTTGACTTGTCGAACGCACCTAATGTCACGCAAAGCCACAAAGTTTTATCTGGCATTAGCTTAAATGAACAAACATTGTGGTCGTTTTCCGTTCGTTTCCAGATATAGAGAATTTTCGGCATAATTTATGTACGTTTCTCTGCTGGCAGGAAAGTGATTGTTATTCATCGCCGTTCAAATTGACGTGGCAATTATCCCTGACTGCTGGGCATTGCGCAATTAACAGTATTGCCAAGTAAAAATAAAATGAAAACTCATTAACACGGTTGTTTTCAATGGAGAAAATTAAGTAAATTAAATTTTTTTTAAGGAGCTGGGGAACAAATGAATTTTTTTTAGCTCTTTGCTCCAGCTCCGCTCCAGCCAAAATTCTTTGCTCCTTACCTCATTCCTCCTTTGCTCCGCTCCGAAGCCCTGGTTTCAATGATTTCCTTGTTTTTATATTTTCTTGAAGTAAGTCTCTTAGAAGAAAAACCAAAAAAAAAAGTGAAGTATTTTCAGAATGTAACTTTTGAGTGAAAAAGAACTTTGTATTTAAATAACCTATTTCTCAAAAATTGTTCAAATGGAATATATGGGAAATTGTTGCCGAAGAATGATTAAACAAAAAGCCTGCCTCCCAAGAAAACCCTCACGTTAACGTCATGAAGAAGGCGGAAAAAACTTCAACATTAGCTTATCTGATAAATGAGTTTTAAAGTGATATGCAAAAAGCATGCATTTAATGTTAAAAATGTGTACAATGCTTATCGGTTAGTATACCTTTTTCTAACAGTTTCTAAACTATTTATTACTTTAGCTTACTTTTATAAAAAGTGACAGTCTGGAAAATATTTTACAAAAATGCAAAAGTAAGAAAAACAAAATTTTTAAGAGCCCGAAAGCAGTTTTGTATACTCCACATATCTTCACGTAAGTAAAAGATTTCAGAGGATAAATTTGTCAATCTTTAAAAAAATAGAAATACCTGCCATGTATTGGATATTACCCTTGTATAGATAAAGATAATCATGATAATTTTGCACAGCGAACAGAAAACATCACAAGTAGAGTTATTTACCATTTACATACATACATATGTACGTAAAAATATGCACACAAAAAATTACTCATCTTGATTGATTCTATCAAATAAAAATGATTGTGTTTTCTTTCTTCTATTATTATGATTTATTTTCAACAAACACTCGAATTTCAGGTTAATATAAAATTTCTTCTTAATTTTTCTAAAGCTATAAATTCATGGCTGAATTGGAGATATGTACTTTCTTCGCACATTTACAGTATTTCCTTTTCGAATGCCAGTATGTAATTTTTTCTGCGAGATTTCACACGATTGAGTCGCTGAATAGTTTTTTTTTATTTTCACTATTCTTATTTTCATAATTTTCGTTCAATGTTTCTTTAAGTTTAAGACGATATGTTTTAGATGTTTTTCTAAAGTTAACTTCAGAAGTCACTCCCTGTTCCATTTAAAGTCTTACCACTATATTACATATGTATGCATAATATGAATATTAATAGCAATGAAGAAAAAACTTCACGCCTATTCAAAGAATTTTTCATACCCATATTTATGTTTTATTGCATAACAGATTCGATCTAAAAGTACTACCCAGATCTGGGTACTTATTTTTTATTTCTAATATGAGCTGTTTGTTGTGAACTACGGTTTAACTTGTTTTATATTTCCGATCCTGTTATTTTTTGTTAAATAAGATTAAGAATCAAAAATTTACAATCCTAGATTAAAGTTGGTTCAAACATTACCGTAAAATGAACAAAATGTGAATCAATGTATACACAGTGTTGTTACTACGGCCCAGAAAGCATTATTGGCATTTTTGGGACCACGCTCACATATAATTAATTTAGTTTTATTTTTACTTCTGTTAGCATCTATTGTGGAAGTTCATAAATCTGGACGGGTAGTGCCTTCGGCGTGATGATCTCGTCTTCGAATTCATCATCCTGATCACCAATAATGTAGTCGCCATTCCGTTCTGAAAGTAAGACATAAAAAATAATCTTATTAAATCTACTTTATTGCTTTTCTTAACAGACTTACGCCCACCGTCGACGGCACTACCATTGGGATCGGATCTGATTTTTGTCGGCTTATAAACATATTCTCGTAGCAAATGTGCATAAAGTATATCGTCAATATAGAACATTGTTCCTAAGTTATAGACGAATACTTCGCTTTCGGTAATCTTGGCATTGTTAACACTGGTAGCATTGCTTCCCGGATTGCGGGTGATTTTAATATGACCTCCACCGATAGTCTCAAAAACTTCGTTGTCCCGAAGGTCACGATCGTACAGACGTCCCCGTACGAAATGATTGAGTAACATTTTAATGCCGCGGGGTGAAGCCTGTTAGTAATAATTCAAGTCAAATATAAACCACATCACTAGATGTTTTAATATACTTCATACCATGACATCATCGGAGAGCCTATCGAAACCAAGTCGTTCAAATGCTTTATCTTCTGGCACAAAGAACGTGTAATTGGCGCCTGATATATGCGGAGCTATTTCGGCGTTGTTCAAGTACCTGTGAAAGTATGTTATAAGATTACATTAATTCGGTAAACTCATTAGAGCTGACTTTAAAACATTATTAAAAAATTTCAGCTGTAATTTCAGTTCCAGATAGGGTACGAAAATAATCCGTACAAAACAACCAAACGGGACCGAAGCGCTCCATTAGTACTATTAGAGCGCTACGTATTTAGCAGTAAGCGTTCCTTTCCTAATTTCAACTTTTCAAAATTTTCAACTTTTAAACTAAATTTTTTAGAATATTTTTGAGTATGCAGTTTGGTAGTTCACTCAATTTCAGTGCAATAAAGTACAAGTTTTAAGTGGCTATAAACTACCGTTGATTTTTGATATTTTTCTTGCTGATGATGTTGCTCATTTTCTCCATATAACGGATGACCGAAGAGCGTCAGTAAAAAAATTCTAAAAAATCAACGGTAGATTATAGCCACTTAAAACTTGCACTTTGTTACACTTAAATTGAGTGAACTACCAAACTGCATACTCAAAAATATTCTAAAAAATTTTGTTTAAAAGTTGAAAATTTTGAAAAGTTGAAATTAGGAAAGGAACGCTTACTGCTAAATACGGAGCGCTGAAATTGAGTAAACTACAAAACTGCAATACTTGTTTAAAAGTTGAAAATTTTGGTGAAAATTTGTCGAATTTTCCTAAATTTTGTGAAAACTTTGAATTCAAAAAATCCAAGTATTTTTATATGGGAAAAAACAACTTTTCGTAGAAATGCTATAAAATTCTTGAAAATCAATATTTTTCACTAGGAAAACTCTGGTTCTCTTCAGGAGTTTTTCAGTAATAATTCCCAATTGTTTATTTAACCATTTTTTAATACTAACGATTTTTTATTGGTCGCCCCATTGGGGTTTTTTTGGGTTTTTGGCGGACCTATAAATTATAGTTGCGATGAAAAAATGGTTAAATAAACAATTGTGTATTATTATTCGGAATCTCCTGCAGATAAACAGAGTTTTCCGATAGAAAAATATTGATTCTTGAGAATTCTATACCATTTCTACGAAAAGTTGTTTTTTCCCCATATAAAAACATGGAAAACTTTGGGCGCTTTGAGTGACCTCTAAATATTTTTTGATTTCAAAATAAAAAAAACAGGGATATATATATTTTTTTCGGTATAGAACAATCCTAGGGGGTGAAAGCATACAAATTCCGACTTTACTTTTTCACATGCAATTTTGGACCACCCTAGTGTACATTCATACATAAAAAAACCTTTTTTCAAAAGAAAAATATGTTATGTAACTTATCAAAATGATATTTATTACTGAACACTGTTAGAAATTTAGAAATTTATTTTTTACTTTGCTTTTATACTGTTCCCTGCTTGCTCCTTTGGGGAGCAGCTCACTTTCAGTCCCCAGGAATCGGCATCTGCTCATCGACCATCAGATCATTTGTGGTTTTGTATTATTGTATTGAACATAGTCAGAAAAAAATTATTTTACCCCAACGAGAAACGTTCACTTTTCTTTTATGATAATTGTAACATCGAGTACGTTATATGTGGCGTATTCCACCGTCACGGGTGGGACATTTGTACAGTAAATTATATACTTAAATTTAAGTATGAAATACTCAACAATTCTACATTTTGATTAAGCTACACCTAATTCACTATTACATGAGTTATTAAAATACAAAAAAAAAGTCCAACTTACTTTTATATGGGAAAAAAGCTGAGTTATTTCCCCTGTCACTGGTGGGACAAAAAAAAGGAACTGCGAATTTATTTCGCTATGTGAACTTGCCCTACAAGCTACATTGCTGAGCTCTTTAGGCAAAATTCTAACACATTTACAATTTTTTCATTAGTCTCTAATACATGCGCATTTGCAAAATGATTTTGATTTTGTAGTATGGCATAAATGAGTAGTTTGACTATTAGTACTGAGGACTTTCTGATGACAGCATTTTTTCCCATGCTTCAGATTTACGTTTTAAGTTTTTTTTTGCTCGGAAAATAATCGTTATTTCTTGAGTTTTATTTTTTGCTCAGAAAATAAAACTTACGGCTCTATTCTTTATCACTGACAAATTCTTGTCACAGTTTTTATTACGGAAAAATATATGAAAAACTTTAAATTTGTCAGTAAAAAAAGTTTTGTCACCTATACAGAATTGGGCTATTAATTTTTGCATATGCGTATGCGCATGCGTGAATAGACAGGGGGCGGCTGCATTGAACTTTTAACGCCACTGTGGAGTGTGTAATGAAAATACAGAGAGCAAGATACAAGAGCAACGACAAATCCACAGACACACAACTTATATTGAAGGATCAAGCCAATGATAAAGATGAAGAACAGGACAAAGTTAAAGATAAATAAAAAGGAGAGGATAAAGATAATGATGAAGATGATGAAGATGAAGATGAAGATGAAGATGAAGATGAAGATGAAGATGAAGATGAAGATGAAGATGAAGATGAAGATGAAGATGAAGAAGATTAAGCTATACAGTGCAATGCAAGCGTGAGCGTGAGATTTTCATTTTGATCTTCGTTATTACTTCACTTTTTGCAATAGTTGATACATCAAAGTATGGAGAGTTAAAATATCTGTCAGAATTATAGAATAAAAACTAATGCATAATATGCCTTTTTTCAAGCTCACACTCAACTGTGTGCTGTGTGCATGTGAAGGACAAGTTTTGACAGATGAGTGCGAGCGTCCATAAGAATACAGATGGAATTCTTTGCTTTTGTGAACTCTCACGCTTGCATTGAACTGTATAGCAAGCTTAAGGATATCTTACTACCATCGTTTTACGTCATATTCAAGGCACATAAATACAGGTAGAAGCCATTTTGACATTACTCTCATGAGAACCAAACCTGTTTCGCCGAGCTTCTCCTCCGATTTGTGGCGGGCGCCTTGATGTTGTCACACAAAGCGGAGGGACCTATAGTTTTACGCCGACTCCGAACGGCGATTGTATTTTTATGAGAAGCTGTTTTTCATGTGAGAAATACACTCAGAGGTTTGCCATTGCCTGCCGAGGGACGACCGCTGTTAAGAAAAACCCTTGTTTCTATATTTTTTTGCGATGTTGCTTTGACCAGGGATTGAACCCAGGCGTTGCGGAGTGGAAGCGCGCACTGCTTACCACTACACCACAGCGGCCGACATGCCGCATACTTCAATTAAATTCGAATTTTAAAACAGGCGGTAACTAGGAATGTTAATCCCGGGATCCCGGTCTTTTTTACGTCCCGAAAATTCCGGCATTATTTGTCTAGAATCCCGGGATTTGTAATATACACTGGTGGCAATAATAGAAACGCCTTATGTTGACCAGTTTTGGCTATATTTCCTTTTGTATATTTAATATTTAATATTTTTTATAAATGTCTAGCTCAGTATACATATAATAACTTGCGACGCAATTTTACACACAGAAAAGCAATATATTCGCGAAACCAACGGAACCTTGAAATTTGAAAGATATTGGTAATTCAAAAACTGATTTATTTTATAATTTTATCCTAAATATCCTTGAAATTTCGCAATTCTTATTTTTTTAAAAATTATATGTTAAGGACAAACTTTATTAGCTTAAAAAAATAAAATAGATTAAAGGGGCATTCCTATTCGTCCTTGTGAACCCAAAAAATTCTACAGATTTTTTTCTTTCATTTGGTACCCATATTGATGTTTTACAATGCACTGAATTTTTAAATGAGTTTTGGAATTAATAATATCTTTGAAATTATAGTATTTTTAAATAAATCATGACGTCAGAGAAATGCCCATTTATATGCATTTAATTATATGTAATATGAGGTAGACTTTTATACAAAAATTTAAATAATTAATAAACAAAAGGAATATAGGTAAAACTGGTCGAAATAAGGCGCTTCTTTTATTTCTGCCACTAGTATTATGAACTTCTTTGAACCAGAAAATAAAATTTTGACTTAATGTTTTTTTGCATCAAGCTTTTTTCGACATACCTTAAGTTATTTTATCATATATGTAATGCTAAAGTATTATTAAATGCATATAGATTTAATTACTGTCTTTCGTTTTGATACTTATATAAACAAGTACGTTCCAAGCCCATTTACTTATTATTTATTATATGATAGGAGAGCTTCTCAAACCATATTGATGCAATTTTTTCGATTTAAGTTGTTGAACAATAATAAATATCTAAATCCCGGGACTGATCCCGGAGTCCCGGGATTGAACCAACGACATCCCGAAAATCCCGGGATCGTACAAATCGAAAAAGTTAACATCCCTAGTGGTACCTCTATTCAAACTACATATTTTGAAATCAAAACCTTGTTAAACCTTTTTCGACTGACACAAATATTGTGATGCATATTTAAATTGTGTATCCCTTCCCTTAATTCAAGTTGAATTCAATGGCAACCCTCTTAAATAAAGTTCAGAAAAAAACCATACTTTAATAATTCATTTCACTTATTAGACAATTTGAGTTTAACTTTTTACACAGATAGAAACCCTCTTTAATGTTATAAATATTTCTTAATACTCCTTTGTTTGACGCCAATATTTGAATATTTCATATAATTTAATTCAATTCGACTTTTCAAACAGATGGCGATCCTGTCCAAATTATTTTTAACCAAAACCTCGTTAAACCTTTTTCGTCTGACACTTGTATTGTGATACATGTTTAATTTATCTAATACTCTTAATTCAAATTGAAGTTAATCATAAAATCAGGTAGCAACCCTCCTACATGCGGTTTGGAAATAAAGTTTCTTCCAAGCAATTTTGATTTGTTCTCATATTGAAGTAATTTATTTGACCTATTGTTTATATTGAATCTAACTTTGTAATAAGGTGAGAACCCTCTGCAAAATATTTTCAAACCACAGCTTCTTTTGTCTGACATTCATGTCAGGATATACATTTCAATTTTCCGCCTTTATTTAACTCGAACTTGATTTTTGAAACAGGTGGCAACCCTCCCATATATAATTAAGAAATAAAGCCTTTTCAA